CCAATATGGCGGCGTATCCATGGAAACGAAACTTTTTTCTCAAATTTGATTGCGGATTTTAAGACTCCTTACTATGCTTGTTATATGTGTGAAATTTGGTAAAATTCGGTCCAGTAATAAGCGAGATAGCCTCCAGGTGTAGTCCCCCCCCCTTAAAAAGCTTGTGGACTCACAACTTCGTATTTGTTTGACTAGAGTTTTATTGTTAAGAGTTGTTGAATGGGAAATCTTACAACAATAATCAACCAACAGTTGAACAAGAAAACAGTTATGAGTCAACAAGCGTTCAAAATTGGTACACTCCCGATTTTCAGTTTGTGACAACCGTCAATTTTCCCCTGTAGTCTTCATGTGTAATCTTAATTGTTAACCCACGGAGAACGTGCACTCCTCAACTCTCGATCTGCAGAGATTTGAAGTGTTATCTTTTTTTCATGAACAGAAGCTCCAAATGAAAGTAGAAGAAAGTAAGGATTTTTTAAAACACTTTTTAGGTAAACAAACATGAACCCAAAGCATCATTATTATCAAACATAATTTTCTTTTCAGGTACGATATGCAATTGAAGTTATTATGAAATGAGTTCAGGAGGCACTTAACAACAATCCTTACTCGTTTTTTAAAGAAATAAAATACCCCACCATACTATTTAACAATACAATTCCTGTCTTTCTTGACAGGCACATCTATTGACTAGATACTGCACTATTGTTGTTCTTGTTTTCCTCATTTACCAGAAATATATTTTGACCTGCACTGCAACTGTTTCCTCATAATATATCAAATATTTCTTCTTTTAAGACAAATATATTAAGTAATATATGCTTGAAGTTTAAACACGTTCTATTTTTATTCTGAAAAAACCTAACATTTCAAATCAAGCTGTTGCAACATAGCAGGGAATAGGGTTACCTCTTGAAAGAGTTAAGCCTGCCAGTCTAAAAGGCGGGGCTGGAGACCAAATGGGAACGACAAATGCCCACACAAAGAAGAGTAATAATTAATAATAATATACTATTAACAGTAAATCGCAGGGCGTCCTGGTTGAATCATTTTGCGAATCCACCATCCTTATGAACGAGTTGGTATATATACCTACCCACCTTCTTTAAGTTTGCTTTTCTTTTTCTTTGTCAGTCTGCCAGTCTGACTATCTGTCAACAGCGGCACACGGAAGACGTGGTTTCAATCCCCGCGTGGGAAACTCAATTAAAAATGTATTTTGCCTGACTGCTGTAATATGGGATCAATCTAATAGCCTGTTTTGGCCTTGATAGGCAGGTTCAAAGCAGCCCGCCTCCAAACTGTTTGAAGATTTTGATAGAGTTTAACTCATTTTCCACATGGAACTCAAGACACAAATCAATTGTTTAGTATAAGACTCCGCCATAAGCCAATTTGCAAAGCGACGTTTGACGGAGTCTTGCACTGAGCAGTCGAAATACAGATGAACCAGACCAGACCATCAATGATTTATTTATAGAGGCACCAGCCATCCATGTCCAGGTGCTGTTTTAGCCTCTTTTTCTTGTATTTGGATCAATAATATCTTTTTGCCAATT